TCCACAAGGTTTTTGTTTAAGGTTCAAAGTGAGCAAATGCAGAGGTCTCCTTGAGTTCTTTTGTATGAGCTGGGGGGATGGGCGTGTGTCTGTGTCGGGGAGAATCAGGGCTATGGCAAAGAAATGATTTTCTGAAGTCAGTTCAGTATTGTTTGAGCCATGTCAAATAGACATTGTTTAAAGTGTCTTTTAAAGGTCCGGGAAAATGCTCAAAAGCAAAAATCATCCACTATTCTGCCACCTAAAGGGGACCACTGTGTATTTCTGATGTATTTATTTCCAGACTTTTCCATGTATTGGGTCATGAAAGGACTTACTGGAGTGATGGAAATACTCTGTATCTTCATAGTGTGGTGGTTGCACGACTGTGTAGATCTGAATTTTACAGTGTGCAAATTGCAGCTCATTAAACTTGACATGAAAAACATATGAAAAGCACAGTGGAAAGGCCGCCATTGGGATCTTTCTTTGTGCAGGAACTGAGCTTTGTAAACAGCGTGGCTGTGGTTTCTTTGCAGACACTGCTCCAGAGGCTGCCCTATGCTCCCTCAGGATGGACTATAAGGTGCTTTGTCATTCCTCACAGATGCCCACCAAGGTGGTTTTCATCTTTTCTCCACAAAAACAATACTGTGAACAATTTGCTCCGTATCTTGAGTGACTTATTACTGGACCAAGGAGTATACATATTTTATAAGCTTGCGATATTGTCAGACCATTTTTTGGAAAGTTGTGTTATTCTATCCAGAGCCTAGAACTGTCTGGGAATGTTCCTGGGCCATTATTTTCAGTGCCATAAAGCTTTTGGGTTTTTAGGAATCTTGGTTAGTGGATTTGCTTAGTGTTCAGACAACAAGCTTTACTTCTATTAAAAATAGGCCTGCTCTTAGGCAAACATATTTCTTAGATACAACCCCAAATGCATGAAAAAGAAAAAAGTGGAGTGGTGAATTGGACCTTCATGAAAGTTCAAAACATTTTCACTTCAAGAGATACTATTAAGAGACCAGGAGAAAATATTTATAAAACATACGCCCAGTAAAGGACTTACATTCAGAATTTGCAATGAACTCTTACAACTCGGCAGCAAAAAGACAAATGATTCAATCAAAAAGTGGGTGGAAGATACAAACAGACAATTCACCAAAGAAGTTGTATGGATGACCAACATACACATAAAACAATCTCAGTATTCTTAATTGTTAGGGAAATATACTTGAAAATTATGATGAAATACTATATCATACCCATGAGAATAGCTGTAGTGAATGAAACAGACAATAAGTCAAGAATTGGAAGAAACAGGAAACTTCACGTTGTGGATGGGAACATAAAGTGATGCGGCCACTGTGGAAGACAGTTTGGCGGTTTCTCAAGAAGTTCATCACAAAATGGCCATATGACCCAACTATTCCAACCCTAGACTTCGACCCAAGAGAGATGAAAACACATCCATACAATGACTCACATGGGAATGTTCAGAGCAACATTGTTTATAAATGTATAAATGCCCAAGCTAAATGCCCATTAACTGATGAAGGGATAGGCAAACCGTGGTCTGTTCATAAAACAGAATATTATTCAACCATGAAAAGGAATGAAATACTGACACATGCCTCAACATAAATAAACCTCAAAAACATATTGCTAAGTGAAAGAAGCCAGTCACAAAGCCAGAATACATATGGTCTGACTCGATTTACAAGAAATATCTAGAAAAGGCAAATTTTTAGAGACAGAATGATTTGTGGTTGCCTAGGACTGGGAGTTGGAACAGAGATCAATTATAAATGTTCATGAAGTTTTATTAGGGGGATGAAAATGTTCTACAACAAACTTATGATGATGATTACACCACTCATTAAAGTTACTGAAAATCATTGACTTCTGTCCTTGAAATGGATGGATTTTATGAAATAAAACTTGCTTCAATAAAGCTGATAAAAATGGGGAAGGGGCAAGAAGAAGATGGATGTAGCTGATTCCCAGTATGTCTCCAGCTGCCAGAGTCTTGGGATAACTTCAGGAAGGCCTCTGTATAACCTGTGGGAGCTCAGGGACACCCCACCCGGCAGAGGAAGGAAGCAGGGATGGATTGTTCAGTGACCTTGAACACCTCCCGCCCCTGGATGCTTGTCCCTCTGCTTATCAGAGGTGCAGTCCATGTCTTCATCCCCTTGAAGTGGGGCCAGCTTCATCACTTGCTTTGGTTAACGGCATGTAGCAGGGTGACATGGTGCTGGTTCCACCCCTAAGTCCCAAGAGGCCTTGCAGCTTCTTCTGTGCCCTCTGGGATCCCTGCTCTGAGAATGCCATCTGAGGAAGCCAGTCCAGGCTCTGAGGAGATAAGGCACCACATAGAAGGAAGCTGGTCTACCATTGGGGGTGGGGGAGCCCATGGAGGGGAACCAAGGGGCTCACCAAGAGCCAGCAGCAACTGCCAGACATTCAAGTGAGGCCTTCTGGCACCTTCCAGACATGTTGGTCCTCCAGCTGAGCACAGTGCAGGGAGTGAACCCAGGTGAGGCCAGCAGAGAACTACCCAGCTGATGCATAGAGTGGTAAGAAAAAACAAGTGTTTGTTGTTTGATGCCATTAAGTTTGGGGTTGGTTTTTACTTAGTAACAGATAACTGAAACAGAAGCCCCCTTTCCTTTCCTTTGTCCCTGAGCTCCCACAGGTTATACAGAGGCCTTCCTGAAGTTATCCCAAGACTCTGGCAGCTGGAGACATACTGGGAATCAGCTACATCCATCTTTCCTTTGCTTCTGATCTGCCAGCCCTGAAGTCATCTTCATTGAGGTAGGGTTGTGGACCCACCATTCTCTCACACCTGAGACCCTCACTTCATCCTGTGATGCCCTGGGTCTTGACCCAGACACCATCTTCCTCAGGGCAGTGGTTCCATATTCTGGTTGTGCAACGGAATCTTGGTGGCAATTTAAAAATATGGCTTCTGTACCTATTATTTATTGCACAACAAATCACCCCAAAACTTAGTGGTTTATGAGAGCAATATTTGCTTTGCTTATAAATCTGCAGTTTCTCTTGATGGAGACAGCTTGTTTCTGTTCCTCAGTGTTAGCCAGGGTGGCTCAAAGGTTGGGGGCTGGGATCATTTGAAGTCTTGCACTCTCACATATCTGGGAGTTGAGGCTGGCAAATTGGCTGGGAACTGTCACTTAACAACAGCTTTATGTGGCCATTTAACATGGCTGTTAGGGCTTCCTCACAACATGGTGGCTGGATTCCTAACATGAATACCATACCTCAAAAGAACAGGGCAGAGGTAGATGGAATTTGTATGACCTGTATGAAATCACATAGTGTCATTTCCTCTGTTCTCTTTTGACTGAGGCAGTCACAAGGTCTGCCCAGTTTCCAGGGGAGGGGACTAGACCACCCCACTCCCCGGGGTGAGAGGAATGTCAACATCACACTGCAGGAAGATTATGTTGTGGGGGATCTTCTGAGGTGGCTGTCTTTGGAAAATATAATCTGCCACTTGTTCCTAAGCCCACCCTTAGAGAGTCACTTCCACAGATCTTTAATGAAGCCTCAGAATTGTATTTTTGACATGTAGATGTTTTCAATGCATATCCAGGATGGCACATTGGTCTTTGGTCCAAGACTGCTTGCTGGCCTCTCACTCCTGAGCTCGGGGAGAGATGGGCTGCTACCCTAGGTGGTGATGTGATCAAGAAGCGTTTGAAGGGAAACCAGCCTCAGGCCAACAGGTAGGACCTGGGGAGCCCGAGGCCTGTCCAAGGTTGGTGGTGGTGTTGAACTGCCCTTGTTAAAGGGGTCTTTTGGGGGCTGGTGTATCTGAGTAGCTTTGTATTCTTCCAGCCCTTCATGTGTCTCCTGAGCATTTCCTGGCAAGCAGACAATAGTCTCCAGGCTGCTGCAGGTGGACTGTGGACAGCATGATTGTGTCTCTCTGTGCTGATAGTTTGAACGCCCTTCTCACAGGGCTCACTGCCATTTGATGTCTTCCCTCACAGCTGTACTTGAGGCCCAGTTTTTTAGACTGATTGAACCCAAGGAGTACTGGAGAACCCAGTATTAAAGGGGCTGTCCCATGCCCCAAGAGCTGTCTGGGGAGGCATGCACTGGGAGACTCAGGACTTGGGCCCCAGTTCTGCCACAGTGTTGCTCTTTGACACAAAGTAGGTCATAGCTCAACTCAGAGCTAAAGTGTTCTTAATAGCCAAGCGTGTGCATAGCCTCAGTTCCCATTCTCTTGAACAAACTGGCTGCCAAAGAGGGGTACTCTCCTTCAACAGAAGGCCTGCCTTGGTTCCCCATTGCCCATAGTTCTGTGCCCTTCCTACCCTTTGGGGTTATATACCATGGGTCCTACACAATGCTGCAGCCTCACCATCCCTTCCTGAACTTGCCAGGCCCTTTCATCTATATGGGCCTTTGCATATGCTGTTCCTCTACTTGGAATGCCTTCTCTTGCTTTCGCCACCTGGCCACCCGCCAGATTGGGCTTTGCTCACCTCCTCCATGAAGCCTACCCCAGCCCTCCACCCCAGCTGCTTGCTGTGCTGAAATCTTCTACATCAGGAGCCACAGTCAGGGCTCTCAGCTTGGGTGGTTTAGCAGACTAGCAGAGGCTCTGGAGTCAGGCAGTCCGGATTTCAATCCTGTGCCGCTCCTACTTGCTGTGTGACCTCTCAGGGAATCGCTTCACCTCTCTAAGCCTGTTTTCTTATCTCTGATCGGGGCTCGTGATCACTAAACAGAATTCGCATGCTATTAAGGACATCAGCGACAGAAGCAGAGAATCTAATGAGAGAGATCGTGGGGAGGGCTGAATGTGCAAAGCCCACAGCTGCCTTGCTTTTATTAAGGAATGGGAGGTGGGAGCTGAGGGAGAGGGAGGGAGGAGCCATCAACTCCTCTTCGCCGTCATAAGGGCAAGGGCCAGGCTTATAGTAGGTGCTGACGTCCACAGTAGAAACGCCTTAAAGAGTAAATGAATGAGTGAATAAATGAAGGCAGCTGGTGTCTGAACGTGGCTGTAGCCATTTGACAGACTTGGTGCGCAGCGGCTGAGGAAAGCCCCGCCCCCACGCCGAAAGCCCGTGCGTCTCCTAGCAACAGCCCTGAGTAGCTGAGGGCCCGCGGCCCTCACTGCAGTCGCCGAAGGTCCTCGCTGTCTTGGAGTTTCTTCGCCCAGGTGGCTGTGGATCTGGTACGGGAGTTGCCACCGCGGTCCGAGTCCCCGCTGCCACCCTGCGCATCGGTTTGCAGGTACCGCCGGTACCTGGAGGGGAACCCCGACCCCTGCCCCACCTCGGCCGCCGCAGCCCGGGACCCTTCCCGCCTAGCCTCGACTCGCTCTCTCTCCTCGGCGTTAGCCCGGCGTTCCGCCTCCGTGGGCCCTGAGCTGATGCCCCGAGCCCAGCACCCAGTGCACGTTCATGTTCTGTCTCGGGGGCAGGACTCAGCCTCCTCGACCTCCCCAGGCTCCCGCATGTGCTGCCCCTGGCCTGGTTTGCCTCTCCCCAAATAGCAAACGCATCCTGTGCTTTGGTGCAGCAGACGCCCCCTCTCCCGCCAGGTGGCTCCCGGGAGCTGCTCACCTGGGACAGGCATTCCGGAAGCCCGGCGACTGACTCCTGGTTAGGCGAAGGAGATAGGGTTGCTTGTCGTCGGGCTTATTGCTAGCCACCCTTCTCTGTGGTTCCTTCATCCATTCATTCTCTAAGTCCGTCGAGTAACGACTGTGTGCCAGGCAGTGATGGAGCCCCAGCATTCACCAGGAGCAGGCGGGCAAGCGGGGAAGAGAAGGGTGGGTGCTCCTGCAGGAGGCTGGGCTGACCTCCTGGAGCAGCCCTGGAATACAGGTGGGGACAGCCTTCACTTTCTCCCTGCCAGGAGCGCCGGCGCCCAGTGGTGCGCTGTGCAGCATGTCGCTGCATGCGTGGGAATGGGAGGAGGACCCTGCAAGCATAGAGCCCATCAGCTCCATCACCAGCTTTTACCAGTTCACGAGTGAGTGTGACGTGGAGGAACATCTGAAGGCCCAGGCCAGGGCCCAAGAGTCCGACTCTGACCGCCAATGCAGCAGCATTTCGTCCTCCTCTGAGCCTGCCAGCACCTTCAGCTCCGACGTGCCCCACGTGGTCCCCTGCAAATTCTCCATCTCACTGGCCTTTCCTGTGAATATGGGTAGGTGCTAGAGCAGAACTCTTTAACACCCTCTGAAAAAGGGGGTGCACGAATTAACTTTCTGCAGGAGTTGACGGAGCATATGCCCCACAACCTCTCTTCACCTGCCCCACCCCCAAACGGGCTGGCCAGTGCCAGCCAGGAGCAGAGGTTGAAAAGAAATAGCAATTTTAGGGGGCTCAACTGTGGTTGCATGAGCTTCACATGCTTAATCCTGTCAACAAACTTAAGAAGCAGGTGATGTTCTGTCTGCTTTTTACAGAGGGGGGAAAAACATGGAGTGGTTAAGGCATTGATCCCCATAAGCTCTTGTGCATCACCTAATACCTTGTTTAAAATACATCTTCCTGGAGACTGAGGCAGGAGAATCGCTGGAACCCGGGAGCTGGAGGTTGCAGTGAGCTGAGATCGCACCATTGCACTCCAGCCTAGGCAACAAGAGTGAAACTCCATCTCCAAAAAAAATTAATCTGTTAAATCAACATCTGAGTGTAAAGGTGTATCAGTTAGTTATTGCCACAAAAATGTAGTGCAGCAAACCTAAACAAGCTCCCAAGCTCCAAGTTCAGTGGCTGCAAACAGGAACCCTAGGTTCTCCTGGATGTCCTGGTTGCTGGTCTAGGCTGCATTCTGTGACGGCTCAGCTCTGCTTCAGGCCGCTACTCCTCCTGGACGAGTGGGCTAGCCTAGACACCTTCTTGTTCTAGAAACACAGAGACACACAAGAGGGCAAACTCATCCCCACAAACACTCCTCAAGTCTTTGAGTGTCTCCCACCTGCTAGCATGTTACTGGCCAAAACACTAACGTGGTTTCAGCCCAACATGGGGGGTGGAGACGAGTAGTACTTCACCTCTTAATAGACCTTAGCTTTGTTTTGTTTTGTTTTCATCTGCCTGCTTGAACTAGCCCACCATGATGATTTCAGCTTCTCCTGGTATTCTGTTGATGGTTGCTTCAGATATTTTGGAGGCCATCTGGTTAGGTGTATAGCATGTTTTGAACTGCTCCATCTTCTTGGTGAATTGAACTTTTTGTCATTTTGTGGTGACCGTTCCTCCATTCCTATCTAAAATGATGCCTTTACTCCTGGGTTTATTGCTATGAAGCAAAAGAGCCTGGAAAAAGACATCTGGCAAATATCAACTAAAAGAAAATTGGCAGTTATCTTCTTTAGCCCTCATCTCATTTGCAGCATTTTCTAAGTGTGTTTTTTCTTTTTTGGTTGTCCTCCAAAGGCACTTATAAAATGGATCTCTGTGGGGCAAAACTTCATGAGATCTTGTGTACATAAGAGTATTTTTCATCACGGCAATACTTTGACATACCTCTGGCTGGATATGAAATTCTAGTTTCATTGCTTTTTTCCTTTGATTCCTGAGTCTTTATGGCTAAGTAAATAAACATTTCTTTATACAAATTGTTTATTTTCCAGTAAGTGAATTTGCTGGGTTAAAGGCATGAGTTTATAGTTTTTCATAGATATTGTCAACTTGCCCTTTAAAAGGGCTGAATAATTTGCCTTCCTGTCTTCAGAAAAAGAGAGGCTCTGTTCACTTGCTGGCCACCTGGGATTGAATCAGAAAAGGTCTAATGCTACCAGAGACTGGAAGGAGAAGCTTGACCCCAGTCTCTGCACAAATGCTAACTATTCTGGTAGCAGAAAATTAATGCTGCAGCAGCCTCCTGGGGTTAAAAACTTAGACTTTAAAAGCTACAGCTTAAAGTATAGTCCTGTTGTTATAGAATGATATTTGGATTAAATGTTTATGGAGCTCCTAACACACCTTCTTAGGATGTGAAAAAGCCCCAGCCTAGAGTGTGGAGTTTAAGCTGGAGTGTAAGCAACCAGGGGTGTTGGGAGTGCTCCTTGGGCTCTGGCCTCTGGCAGAAGCCCAGCTGTATCTTCCACATCCTGTCACCTTATGCACCCCACATTGGGTAATTATGTTTTTGCTAAGCTGTTTTCTCTGTCTGGAATATCTGCCAGCTTTGCTCCTCTAAGACTCTGCTAAGGCCCCCTGGGAGGCCCACCCCACCCTCCCCAGGCAGAGTTTGCTCCTCCACCTTTGTTCTTCACAACCTTGTTCCCACTGCTATTATGGCACAAATTACATGGTTCTGTGGTTTTTCTTCTTTTACCTGCTTCTTAGGGCCAGGAGGAGCTAGGGTAAGGCAAGTAAGCTATCTCTCCTAATAACATCTGGCCTGGCCATCTGATTTCACTTTAACTCTATCACCCTTTTAGCCCTAGGCCTACTAACCAACACTCAGCCTCCAACTGAGACACTCACTGTCAAAACCATGCACTTAAATTTTGCACTTGGGTGCCCAGTCCAGGTCCTGCTACTCTGCTGGCTAGGAGCACTGGACCTGTACCTCCTTCCCCAAGCCAGGCAGGCAGTGTGGGGTGTGCAGGCTCTTGCAGCATCAAGTTCCAGAGAACTGGGGAGACGGGCCTGCTTTTCCATATGAGGTTAAAACAAGACTTCTTCAATCTGTATCTTCTAGGTCATAAGGGAAAATATGCAAGTTTGATTGAAAAATATAAGAAACACCCTAAAATGGACAGCTCTGTTGCAAAGATGCATCATTTTTACCACATTGAGTATTTCCTTCTGCCGGATGATGGAGAACCTAAAAAAGTTGACATATTGCTGTTTCCAATGGTGGCCAAAGTGTTCCTGGAGTCAGGAGTAAAGGTGCGTGTGTGAGTGTGTGTAGCCTTGTGTGTGGGCTAATGCCCATTATGAAAAGTGTGCTGCCTCATGGATATGTGACCTCAGCCCCACCTCTAGTTGGCTAGAATTGGAAGATCCTGGGCCCCACCTCCTAAGAGGAATCTGTACTCACCTGATCATTCCAATTGCTGACTTTTTTTTTTTTTTGAGTCGGAGTCTTGCTCTGTTGCCCAGGCTGGAGTGCAGTGGCACGATCTTTGCTCACTGCAACCTCAGCCTCCCAGTTCCGGAAATTCTCATGCCTCAGCCACCCAAGTAACTCGAATTACGGGCATGAGCCACCATGCCCAGCTAGTTTTTGTATTTTTAGGTGAGACAGAATTTCACTATGTTGGCCAGGCTGGTTTTGAACTCTTGACCTCAAGTGATTCGCCTGCGTTGGCCTCCCTAATTGCAGGCATTACAGGCGTGAGCCACCATGCCTGGCCTATTTTTTATTTAGCTATTTTGCCCAGTAATTTCCAAGGTGTTTCAAAAGTTTTTGTAGTTCTTGAGGTTTCTTTTTTTCTGTGTGTATGCATGCATGTGAGTGTGTGCACGCGTACACACTACCTGCACACACACACTCCTGCCAGTGGTTTTGCTCTGGGTCATTGCTTGGAAGCAATCAAGGAGGATATTTACTGACAATTACTTCGATTTTATTTTTCCCGAGGAACACAGAAGTCTGATGGGACCCAATACACAATGCCCCATTTCCCCTGAGCTCAGAGCCTGGAGAGTGACCAGGCACCAAAGTTAGGCAGTGCTGCCGCTGAGGGCCTGGGCTGGGGCTGGGGCTGGGGCTAGCTCTGTTTGCCATGACCTTCTCATGTCTTTCCCCAGTTGACGTCTCTGAATGTTGTTTTACACAGACCGTGAAGCCGTGGCATGAAGGTGACAAAGCCTGGGTGTCATGGGAGCAGACTTTTAATATCAGTGTGACAAAGGAATTATTAAAGAAAATAAATTTCCACAAAATCACCTTGAGCCTTTGGAACATTAAGGACAAGGTGTCAAGAAAAGCTAGATATTACCGATTGAAGACTGCTGGTCTCACAGACAACGTGGGAGCTTTTCATAAGTCAGGTGCTCTGGTTTTATTTGAAATGGTTCTGGAAGCCTGGGGCTTACTCACTAGTAACAGCATAAAAGCCAGTGTCTCCTGGTTTCCTTCCTCTAATTGGCATGTGCACACACGGGTTTCTGGATCTGTGGCAGGGCCAGGTCACGCTGTGGTGTTAGGAAGGGCCACCCTGGGCAGTGATGGTGTGGTGGGCAGTGTTCCTGCAACTCCACCTTTTGGGCCCTTTTATTTTAGGGCAGCTCTGACTCGGGCACCCGCCACCAGTCGGGACTAGCATAATGTTTACTAAAAAAAAAAAAAAAAAATTAGAGGATACCAAGAAACAAAAGAGAAAACTTAAAAATCCTACCACCCCAAGACAGTCGTCTTAACATTTTCATGCAGACCTTTCCAGACTCACTTGTATAAATATTATATCAACCTTAGTTGTTTGTTTTTTTTTTTGAGACAAAGTATCGCTCTGTCATCCAGGCTGGAGTGCAATGATGTAATCTTGTCTCACTGCAACCTCTGCCTCCCCGCTTCAAGTGATTCTCCTGCCTCAGCCTCCCGAGCAGCTGGGACTACAGCCATGTGCCACCACACCCAGCTAATTTTTGTATTTTTAGTAGAGTTGGGGGGGGATTTCGAACTCCTGACCTCATATGATCCACCCACCTTGGCTTCTTAAAGTACTGGGATCGGCCGGGCGCTATGGCTTACGCCTATAATCCCAGCACTTTGGGAGGCCGAGGCGGGTGGATCACGAGGTCAAGAGATCGAGACCATCCTGGTCAACAAGGTGAAACCCCGTCTCTACTAAAAATAGAAAAATTAGCTGAGCCTGGTGGCGCGTGCTTGTAGTCCCAGCTGCTCGGGAGGCTGAGGCAGGAGAATTGCCTGAATCCAGGAGGCGGAGGTTGCGGTGAGCCGAGATTGTGCCATTGCACTCTAGCCTGGGTAACAAGAGCGAAACTCTGTCTCAAAAAAAAAAAAAGTACTGGGATCACAGATGTGAGCCACTGTGCCTGGCCATTGTCAGAAAGTCTTTTGAACTCCCTTGAAGAAGAGGACCGGGGGGGTGGAAAGATCCAGGCTTTGAAGCCAGACAGTGGAATTCAGTCCTGTTTCCATCTTGAACTTGCTGTTGACCAGGGCATGTTCCTGAACATACGTTTCTCATCTGTAGAAAAGGAAAAACAACTAGTACCTGCTTCTCTGGAATACTAGAGGCAGGTTGATGGGAGCAGTCCACCTGGGTACAGGCAATAAGGAAGTTATGCATCGTCTATAGAAAAGTTAAGAACTGTGGCTGAGTGCAGTGGCTCACACCTGTAATCCCAGTACTTTGGGAGGCTGAGGCAGGTGGATCATGAGGTCAAGAGATCAAGATCACCCTGGCCAACATGGTGAAACCCCATCTGTACTAAAAATAGAAAAATTAGCTGGGCATGGTGGTGCACGCCTGTAGTCCCAGGTGCTCCAGAGGCTGAGACAGGAGAATTGCTTGAAGCAGAGGTTGCAGTGAGCCAAGATCGTGCCATTGCACTCCAGCCTGGCAACAAAGTGAGACTCTGTCTCAAAAAAAAAAAAAAAAAAAAATGTTAAGAACAGTAATCAGGCCGGGCACAGTGACTCACGCCTGTAATCCCAGCACTTTGGGAGGCCAAGGCGGGTGGATCACGCGGTCAAGAGATCGAGACCATCCTGGTCAACATGGTGAAACCCCGTCTCTACTAAAAATACAAAAAATTAGCTGGGCATGGTGGCACGTGCCTGTAATCCCAGCTACTCAGGAGGCTGAGGCAGGAGAATTGCCTGAACCCAGGAGGCGGAGGTTGCGGTGAGCTGAGATCGCGCCATTGCACTCCAGCCTGGGTAACAAGAGTGAAACTCCATCTCAAAAAAAAGAGAAAAGAACTGTAATTAAATGCTACCTATTAAACTATGGCATGGCATTAATTGTAAGATGCCTCCTCATGCTTAGAGATGTTAAAAATAAAAGCAGGTACAGTGGTTCATGCCTGTAATTCTAGCACTTTGGGAGCCTGAGGCAGGAGTTTGAGACCAGCCTGGGTAAGATGGCAAGACCCTGTCTCTATAAAAAATTTAAGAATCAGCCCAGCATGGTGATGTGCACCTGTAATTCTAGCTACTTGGAAGGCTGAGGTGGGAGGATTGCTTAAGCCTGGGAGGTCGAAGCTTCAGTAAGTTGTGTTTGTTTGGCTGCACACCAGCCTGGGTGACAGAGCAAAACCTTGTCTCAAAAAAAAAAAAGCAAAATGGATGTACATATTAGAATCAATGATTCTCATGATGTGCAGTACTATTATTGTTGTCAGCGCCTTCCAGATGAGGGTAATCATCCTCAGTTTTGTGTGGCTGGAAAGCCTTGCCTTTCTCTGATTTTCCAGCCTACATTCTCAAGGAGCCTTTCTGACCTTGGAGGCTTGGAACTTCTCATTTTTAATCTTTCATTTATATTCAGGGTTTTTTACTCTTGACACTATTGACATTTTGCGCCAGATAAATTCCTTGCTGTGGGGGCTGTTCTGTGGATCGCCGGGTGTTTTGCAGTGTCTCTGGCCTCTACTAGCTGCCAGTAGTAGCCTGCCAGTTGTGACAATCGGAGTTCTTCAGACATTGCCAGATGTCCCCTGGGGGTCAAAATCGCCCCTGACTGAGAAACACTGGTATGTACCTGCATTACAAGTTGTAAGCTTCCAGGGTGAGAAAATGGGACTCGAGGTAATTTTTCTCACCTGGACCAAAGGAAAGACCTATGTCCTCAAAGTGTGAGCTGTGGACCACCTGCATCAGATGCTTACCTGTAGATTCCAGGCCTGATTCAGAGCTGCTGAGCCAGACTTTCTGGTCAGTATCTGCCCTGCCGTGGGCTCTCATTGGGGTAGGGTGCTGAGGTGGGCGTATCAGGAAGGATTCCTGGAGGAAGGTCTGTATTAGCAAAGAGATGGGTAAAGGGAATTTGGTGGCCAGAAAAGAAGGAAGGAAGGGTGTTCTAGGGCCTCCAGGGAGAGTGCACAAGCCTCTTGTTCTGAGTATTTTTATTGATTAAGGTCTCACCTGTTGCCCAGGTTGGAGAGCAATGATGTGATCACAGCTCACTACAGTTTTCAACTCCTGGGCTCAAGTGACTCCTCCTGCCACAGCCTCCCGAGTAGGTGCCCGGGAACCACAGGTGCCACTACACCTGGTTAATTTTTAGATTTTATCTTTTGTAGAGATTGGGTCTTACTATGTTGCCCAGGCTGGTCTCTAACTCCTGGTCTTAAGCAACCCCCCTGCCTTGGACTTCTAAAGTACTGGGATCGCAAGTATGAGCCACTATGCCTAGCACTGTGAAACGCTGAAATGACAGCACCTGCTCCTTCTTGGACCCTTTCCCAAGCTTAGCATCTCTGCTTCTTATTTAAAGAAGTTTTTCTCATTAAAAAAGCAGTGCAAATTCACTTTATAAACAATTTAGAAATAGACAAGCAGAAAGAAGAAATTAAAACCTCATGATTCCTGTCCAGAGATAGCCATTGTTAACATTTTTTCTGTGAATGTAGTGTACATGTTGTCTTAAGTCCTGCCTTTTCTCCTTAAAAAGATTTCTTACAGAAACTCTTGTTTCTTGGAAGTGCAGAAACACTGTAAGAGTTCTGTCTCATGTTATGAAGGGGGTAGGATGCTTTCTGGATGCCTGGTGGTAGGTCACATGCCAGAACTTGGTAGATTTTAGCCTGCTGGTCTTGAAGGACACATCCCAACCCAACTCAGTATATTAGTCAGGGTTCTGTAGAGGGAAGGACTAATAGGATAGATATGTCTATGAAAGGGAGTTTATTAAGGAGTATAGGCTCACATGATCACAAGATGAAGTCCCACAGTAGGCCATCTGCAAGCTCAGGAGCCAGGAAGCAAGTCTGAGTCCCAAAACGTCAAAAATAGGGAAGCCTACAGTGCAGCCTTCAGCCTGTGGCTGAAGGCCTGAGAGTCCTCTGGCAAGCCACTGGTATAGGTCCAAGAGTCCAAAAGCTGAAGAACTTGGAGTCTGATGTTTGAGGGCAGGAAACATCCAGCACTGGAGAAATAGGAAAGCCGGAAGAGTCAGGAAGTCAGCTCCTTCCATGTTCTTCTGCCTGCTTTCTTCTAGCTGAGTGCTGGCAGCTGATTAAATGGTGCCCACCCAGACTGAGGGTGGATCTGCCTCTCCTAAACCACTGACTCAAATATTAATCTCCTTTGGCAACACCCTCGCCATTATACCCAGGATCAATACTTTGCATTCCTTCAGTCCAATCAAGCTGACACTCAGCATTTCTCTTCCCTTCAATCTGCTCATCTGCTTGATTTCTAAGGCCTGGTTGAAGACCGCATTCTTCTCAAAGCCCCCAGTCATATTTAACTCCTCCTTTGCCCTGAATTCTCAACACCTCCACCCAGTTCCCAGGAGGTTTCCTCCACCTGTTCTTAGGAGAGCTCTCTGCCCAGCTGTCTTCTCCCTCCTGACCTCTGGCTTTCCCTGCACCCAGGTTTGTTCACCCTCCTCTCTCCTGCCACTGTAGCCTTGCCTTTCTCTGTCTTCCCTCCCGCCTTGGTGCTGCCTTGCTCTGCAGCTGTTCATGGCTGCCCCAGGGCCTTTAGGGAACCAAGTGTAGACTTTGAGTCTGGCCTTGAAGGCATTTTACAATCTGCTTCCAAGCCTCCTCCTTACTGCCACTGCCCCTTCACACTACAGCCAACCTCCTGGTCCCTGAAGACATGTGGATCTCCCTTGTGGTAAGACCTGCCTCCAGCCGGGTGGGCGTTCCTCCATGGCTCTCAGCCTCATCCCTTTCTCCAAAAATGTTATCTATCATTCAACTCTGAATCCAATTTCACCTCTTTTTTTTTCTACTTCTTTCTTGTAGCATCTTTCATCTCCATTTGTTAATTCACTTCCTCCATTCATTCATTATCCTGCCCATTCTTGGTGGCTGCCATGTGCATGAGAGGCCTCTAGGGATAGAAATGAAGGGCACTGAGGAGCTGACACCCTAGCTGGGGACAGGGCACTCTGGGTGTAGTCCTGGCCTTGTTAAGGATAAGCTCTCTGACCACAGGAAAGTTACTTCAGTGTCATATCTTCACCTGTGAGGTGGGGAATGCTCCTGCCCTCCTTAAAGTGGAATGTGAGGAGCCAGTGAGGCAGTGCATGTCATGGGCTCAATGCTCGCATTTGGAGGATGCCGCTGGCTGAGGTCTGAGAACCTCAGCGCGTGTGCCTATCCCAGACGTGTACTTATTCTTTTGAGTTTCCTGGAATTTGGAGGCAGCATCTCCAGGAGAATAGGGACCTTATCTACTGCTTCATCTTCTTCAGAGGAAGGTGACTGTCACTACAGCTCTACCTTGGTTTATTGTGCTTTGCTTTATTGGGCTTCACAGAGATCATGTTTTTCCAGATTGGTGGCAACCCTGTGTCAAGCAAGTCTATTGGCGCCGTTTTTTCAACCTTGTCTGCTCACTTTGTGTCTCTGTCACATTTCGGTAATTAATTCTTGTGGTTTTTCAAACATTATATTTGCTTTAGTGATCTATGATCTGTGATCTTTGATGTCACTATTGCAAATGTTTGGAGGTGTCACAAACTGCACGGGTGTGAAACGGTGAACTTAACTGATAAATGCTGTGTGTGTTCTGACTCCAGAACACAGGGCTCTGGTGACCAGCCATTCTCCTGTCTCTCCCTGTCCTCAGGCCTCCCTATTCCCTGAGGCACAACAATACCGAAATTAGGCCAATTAATAACTCTACAATGACCTCCAAAGTGTTCAAGTGAACGGAAGCATCGCACATCTCTCCCTTTAAGTCAAAAGCTAAAATGATTAAGCTTAGTGAGGAAGCCACATCAAAAGCCTAGGTAGGCTGAAAGCTAGGCCTCTTGTGCCAGTTAGCCAAGTTGAGAATGCAAGGGAAAAGTTCTAGAAGGAAGTTAAACATGCTGCTCCAGTGAACCCAGCAATGATAAGAAAGTGTAACAGTCTTATAGCTGATACAGAGGAAGTTTTAATGGTCTGGCTAGAAATCTAACCAGCCACAGTATTGGCTGAAGCCTAATCCAGAGCAAGGCCCTAACTTTCTTCAGTTCTATGAAGGCTGAGAGAGGTGAGGACACTGCAAAAGAAAAGTCTGAAGCTAGCAGGGACTGGTTGATGAGGTTTAAGGAAAGAAGCCATCTCCAGAACAGAAAAGTGTAAGGTGAAGCAGCAAGTTATTTCGGAGATTTAGCTAAGGTCACTGATGAAGGTGACGACACTAAGCCACAGATTTTCAGAGTAGATGAGACAGCCTTCTATTGGAAGAAGCTGCCGTCTAGGACTTCCATAGCTAGAGAGGAGAAGTCAATGCCTTGGCTTCAAAGGACAGGCTGACTCTCTTGTTAGGGGCAGTGTAGCTGATGACTTAAAGTAGAGACCAGTGCTCATTGACCATTCCCACAACCCTAGAGCCCTTAAGAATAGTGCTAAATCTACTCTGCCTGAGTTCTGTAGATGTAACAACAAAGCCTGAGTGACAGCACGTCTGTTTACAGCATGGTTTACTGAATATTTAAAGCCAACTATTGAGACCTGCTTAGAAAAAAGACTCCTTTCCAATATGACTGCTCATCGATAATGCACCTGGTCACCTAAGGGCTCTGATAGAGGTGTACAAAGGGATGACTTTTGTTTCAACATCCATGCTGCAGTCTGTGGATCAAGGAGTAATTTTGACTTTCAAGTCTTATTTAAAAAACACATTTCATAAGGCCATAGCTGCCATAGATAGTGATTCTTTTGATTGATATGTGCAAAGTACATTGAAAACCTTCTGGAAGGCCCAGGCACGGTGGTTCATGCCTGTAATCCTAGCACTTTGGGAGGCTGAGGCGAGTGGATCACCTGAGGCCAGGAGTTTGAGAACAGCCTGGACAACATGGCAAAACCCCGACTCTACTAAAAATACAAAAACTAGCCAGGTGTGGTGGCAGGCACCTGTAATCCCAGGTGCTGGGAGGCTGAGGAAAGAGAATTACTTGAACCCAGGGGCAGAAGTTGCAGTGAGCTGAGATCGTGCCATTGCACTCCAATCTGGGTGACAGAGTGAGACTTCATCTCAAACAACAACAACAAAACCTTCTGGGAAGGATTCACCATTCTAGATGCTTTTAAAATATCTGTGACTCATGGGAGGAGGTAAAAATATCAACATTAATAAGAATTGGAAAAAGTTGATTCCAACCTTCATGGATGGTTCTGAGGGGTTCAAGACTTCAGTGGAGCAAGTCACGGCAGATGTGGTGGAAAGAGCAAGAGAGCTAGAATTAGAAGTGGAGCCTGAGGATGTGACTGAATTGCTGCAGTCTCATCAAATTTAAACAGGTGAGGCATTTCTTATGGATGAGGAAAGAAAGTGGCTTATTAAGATGAGATAGAATCTACTTCTGATGAAGAGGCTGTGAACGTTGTTGAAATGACAACAGAGGATTTGGAATAGTACACAAATTTAGTTGATAAAGGAGAAGCAGAGTTTGAGAGAATTGACTCCAATTTTGAAAGCAGTTCTACTGCGGGTAAAATACTGTGAAACAACCTCACATGCTACAGGGAAACCTTTCATGAAAGGAAGAGTCGATCAATGCAGCCAGCTTCATGGTGAGGTGAACCCAGCCCTCAGCACCCACCACCCTAATCACCGAGCAGCCGTCAACATCGAGGCAAGATCCCCACAACAAAAAGATCATTACCCGAAGGCTCAGATGTTTATTAACGTATTTTTTTGTTGTTGAGATAGGGTCTTGCTGTGTTCCCCAGGCAGCAGTGCAGTAGCGTGATCATGGCTCACTGCAGCTTTGACCTCCTATACTCAGGCAGCCCTCCCACCACAGCCTCCCAAGCAGCTGGAATTACAGCTGCATGCCACCATGCCCAGCTATTTTTTCTTTTTTGTAGAAACAAGCTTTCACTATGTTGCCTAGGCTTGTCTTGGACTCCTGGCCTCAAGTGATCCTCTCACCTCAGCCTCCCACAGTACAGGGATTACAGGCAGAAGCCACTGTGCCCAGCCTGTAATGTCTTTTAGCAATAAAGTATTTTTCTCTCTCTCTTTTCCTTCCTTCCTTCTCTCCCTCCTTCCCTTCCTTCCTTCCTTTCTTTCTTTTTCTCTCTCTTATTAAGAGACAGAGTCTCTCTCTGTTACCCAGGCTGGAATGCAGTGGTGCAGTCACAGCTCCCTGCAGCTTCAAACTCTTAGGCTCAAGCAGTCTCGCAGTTCAGCCTCTTAAAGTGCTGGGATGACAGGCATGAGCCACTGTACCTGGCCCAATAAGGCATTTTTTAAACTAAGATATGTACTTTGTTTTTTTTTTTAGATATAATGCTGTCACACACTTAATAGACTACAGTATGGTATAAACAATTTATGTGCACTGGGAAAACTGTGTGACTCACTCTATTGTGATACTTTCGTGTAGTCTGGAACTGAAATGCCTGTAGTATTGGTCACTGCCAATCAAAAAGAAAGAAAAAAAGAAATGCCCATAGTAGATATTCAATAAGTATTTTGGATTGATTGACTCAATGATTCTTTCTTCTCCTGCATTCTAGAAGTGAGACATTTGGTTTTAAATCAGAGGAAATTATGTGAACAGGGCATTGAGAATGCCAACATTGTCAGAGAGGAGTGGAGCCAGGAACATCCGCAAGGAAAACAAGAAAAAGCAGAAAAACACCCAAAGTCTTTGCAAGGTGAGCAGAGAAGGGCTTTGTGGAGAAGCTGAGTGCCAGGCAGCACAGGGAAAGCCATTGCATGGTGCGCTGGGGCGGTGCGTGTGCATGGGAGTCCTTCCTGTGTGTTGGCAGTGGAGGGGGTGGGGCTCACCCTGCCGCACGGCTGCACTGCTCTGGCTGCATCCTTACTTTTTGTTGCTGATTCTTTTATTTTTAAATTTAATGTCTGTGTGTGTGTGTCCAAAAATTTTCTTTTTATTTTTTGAGACAGAGTTTTGCTCTTGTCTCCCAGGCTGCAGTGCAATGGCACGATCTGGGCTCACTGCAACCTCCACCTCCCAGGTGGAAGTGATTCTCCTGCCTCAGCCTCCCAAGTAGCTAGGATTACAGGCACCCACCACCACACCCAGCTGATTTTTGTATTTTTAGTACAGATGAGGTTTCACCTTGTCGACCAGGCTGGTCTCAAACTCCTGACCTCAGGTGATCCACCAGCCTCAGCCTCCCAAAGTGCTGAGGTTACAGGCCTGAGCTACTGTACCTGGCGTCAAAAGCTTTTCTGACTGTAGAAGTTATATATGTGGTTTTTAGAAAATTTAGTGAATAGATAAAAGTATAAAACAGAAAAAACATAATTTCATCACAAGGAACCATCTATGTAACATTGTAGTTACTATACTGTAGAGAATTTCTTTGTTTTTGTTGTAGGATTTTTTTTTGAGACAGAGTCTTGCTCTGTCACCCAGGCTGGAGTGCAGTGGTGCAATCTTGGCTCACTGCCTCCTTGGTTCAAGTGATTCTCCTTCCTCAGCCTCCTGAGTAGCTGGGACTACTGGGCTGAACCATCCATCATACCCGGCTGTTTTTTGTATTTTTAGTAGAGACAGAGTTTCACCCTCTTGGCCAGGTTGGTCTCAAACTCCTGACCAGGTGATCCACCCCCCTTGGCCTCCCAAAGTGCTGGGATTACAGGCATGAGCCACCTCCGCCAGCCTAGGATTTTTCTTTTTTCTTTTCTTTTTTTTTTTTTTACACAGATTAGGTTATCCTGGATACATACTCCTGTATTTAGAGATTATTAAGATGTCATCACATGCACTTTCCCTTCTTGTTGTTGTTATTCATTTATTTATTATTTTCTATTAAGACAGGGTCTCACTCTGTCACTCAGGCTGCAGTGCTTACTATACTCAGGCTTGATCACAGCTTACTATAGCCTTGAACTCCTGGACTCAAGCAATCTTCCTGCCTCAGCCTCATGAGTAGCTGGGACCACAGGCATGTGTTACCAGGCTTAGCCAGTTTTTAGATATTTTATAGAGATGGAATCCTGCTATGCCTGGGCTGGTCTTGAACTCCTGAGCTCAAGTGATCTTCCTGCCTCAGCTTCCCACAGTGTTGGGATTACAGGTGTGAGCCACAGCAGCAGGCTGCACTTTCCTATTTCCTTAAAAACTTTCCATGAACTTCATTTGTGGTGACTAAGTAGTATTTCATCTGCTGGTCAGACTGTGATCTAACCATTCCCTATGGTTGGGAACTTGGGAATCTTGGGACTACTTTCATTTTCTAATGTAAACAGTACTGAAATGGACAATTTAATACATAACAGACTTTCTTCTCTTTCTCTATTGGCCGTTATATAAGGAACTGGAGGTCTCCTCTTGACTCCATTTATCAAAATAATTGAAACTAGTCTGTATGTTTATTCATTCACTCACTTACAAACCTTTTTTTACAGGGTGCTTACCATATCCCAGGCCTTCTGCCTAGACATTACAGAAATGGGTTAGGAGCCTTCATTTCTTAGTGAGCTAGCATGTAACAAAAAGCTTGGAAATATTTGCTACTATTTTCAGGTTTTCAACAAGCAGAGCCTGAAACTTCTTCCAAGAACAGTGAGGAATATGAGAAGTCCCTCAAAATGGATGATTCTTCCACGGTTCAGTAAGGATTGAATGATATTTTGGGCGGTGGGAGAGAAGCCCCTCTTGTACTAGCCCTACTATGAGTCATGGTAGGTTTTTTTTTAGTAAATCCAGTTAAATCGTAGCTCATGCAATCCAGCCTAAATTAAGGGAGCAGGGAAAGGGCAGCCTGTGTTTGAGTACATGTTGCACCTCAGGCTTTCTGCATGCATTATTTTATCTTATTTGATCCTCATAATGACAACTTTGTGAGGTGGTATGACTGTCTCCATTTTCTACACAAGGTAACTGAGTAATGAAGTGATTTACACAAAGTCATAAACCAGAATTCCTGGTTAAGCTAGGATTCCAATCCACACCTTCAGACTCCTGAGTCTCCAGCCATCCTGCATGAGGTCAGTTGCTCTTAGGGCCTCTGGTAGCCTGAGAAGGGTCTGGAGAAGGAGACTCCTTGGATGCTATGGGGTCCAGGGAGAGAATGGAAGCCCAGCTGATGGTTTGGGAAAATGGAATGAGAAGAACCAAGAGAACATGTCTTTAAACAATTTTGGGTTTTAAAAATTGCTTTTATATTGAATGCATAGATTAATTTGGGAAGAATTAACATTTTTACATTGTTAAGGTACCTCATCCATGATCATGATATATCCTTTCACTCAATGCAGACCCTGCCTTATGTCCTTTAATAGAGTTAATTTGTTCTACCTATAAATGTCATGGATAATTCCTATAAGTGAATTCTTAGATGTTTTATAGTTTGGGCTATTTTTATAAAAACATATTTCTCATTATATTTTTTGAGTTGGTTTAGTACCTTGAATGCAGACCAACTGTGCCAACATTACTGGGGATTTGGCAGAAATGCAGAATTTCAGGCCTGCCCCTGGTTTACTGAGCCAGAGTCTGCATTTTATTTGACAAGATCCCTAGGTAACTCACAGGCACATTGAAAACTTAGAAGCACTGTGTTAGAGGACTGCACTATAAGATTTTTTAAAAATCTGCTTTCATTTAGTCTTTCAGTAAATAGATTCTCAGATCTGGCCCCTGATTTTTTTCACCTTCATTAATTTTTCTCTTTGTGAATTTTCTAGATGGAGTGTTTCAAGAACACCAACCATTTCTTTGGCAGGAGCAAGCATGATGGAGATCAAGGAATTAATTGAGAATGAATCATTTAGCAGCTTAAACATATTAGACAGACAAAGATCTCAAAGTAAGTTAGGATTTGGGAATTTTATAATACAACTAGACTTGGAAGAACTATGAAATGTTTTAAATTCAGGATACTTCAATGAGATTCTTGCATATTTGACCAAATGTTTCTTAAAAGTAAGAGTACTGTATACATTTTCAACTTATGCATTCCATCCTTACTGTCCATCCATCCATCCATTCCCATTTATCTACTCATCTATCTGTCCATCCCATCTACCCATCCATCCACCTGTATTCATCCATCCATTCATCCATCCCTATCCATCCATCCCCATCCGTTCATCCACCCACCCATTCCATTCATTCAACCATCCATCCATCCATCTCCATCTATCCACCCATTTGTTCCATTTCTTCTCATGTCATTCATTCACCCTCATCATCCAACCCACTCCACCAATATTTTTGACCCGTGGTGGTGTGCATATGGAAGACATGAAAATCTCTAATATCTAGTGGAGACTTTCAAATAAAGAATTAAATTCTATGTGATAGATGCTATGGTAGGGGTAGGTATATGGTATGTTGGGGAATAAAAGAGTAGTGTTTATGGAAAGACTCCTTGAAAAATAAAGTATTTACTCTTTTTCTTTTCTTTTCTTTTTTTTTTTTTGAGAGGGAGTCTTGCTCTGTCACCCAGGCTGGAGCACAGTGGCATAATCTCAACTCACTGCAACCTCCACCTCCTGGGTTCAAGTGATTCTCCTGCCTCAGCCTCCTGAGTAGCTGGGATTACAGGCATCTGCCACCACACCCAGCTAATTTTTGTATTTTTCACCATGTTGGTCAGGCTGGTCTCAAACTCCTGACCGCAAGTGATCCACCTGCCTTGGCCTCCCAAAATGCTAGGATTACATGTGTGAGCCACCGCACCCGGACCAGTGTTTACTTTTACAGTGGAATGAAGAACACAGTATCCCATGTCATGGGACCCACTCATGCAGAAGTATGTAATCTTATTCACGTACTGTCAAGAGAGCAGAACACTCAGAAGCCACTAAACCGACTTCCTCATTCTCAGCCTAGATCCCCTCACCAGTTTCTCATTAAGAAATTGTATTTCCAGTGTGAGGTAGGAACATCTAGAGCCAGTGAGTGCACTGCTGCCTCCTGGGATGGGCCATTTCACATCCTCTTAGCTGTAATTGCTACAGATCATTTCCTCGTCTCTCAATCGGTTATCTGTTGTTTGTTGTTTCCTGACACTGGCCTGGTTCTAGTAGTGCAATAGTTGAAAGCTGCGGAGAGAAGTGACTGCTTGAGCCAGGCTCTCTGCTGGGTGCTGGAAACACAGTTGAAGAAAACTCATTCCCATTCTTCCTGTCCACAAAGACTGAGTCGCACTTTCACATGTGAAACGCCTCTCAACTTCAGACTTTGTTCTTTTCCAGATTAAAAGTGTCACTCTTTTTAAAAATGTGCTTTGACTAAAAATACAAAAAAAAAATTAGCTGGGCATGGTGGCGTGTGCCTGTAATCCCAGCTACTCAGGAGGCTGAGGCAGGAGAATTGCCTGAACCCAGGAGGCGGAGGTTGTGGTGAGCCGAGATCGCGCCATTGCACTCCAGCCTGGGTAACAAGAGCAAAACTCCGTCTCAAAAAAAAAAAAAAGTGCTTTAAACATTTAATGAGGTTTTAAAACCATTCTTTTTATTTTAAAATATAGGAAAGTTCATAGGAAAATGCAACAACTATATATTCACAATTTAGGTGTTAGCATTTTGCCGTGTGTTATGGGTGGACCGTCCTTCGCATGCACAGTCCCCCTGCCGGGGATCTGAGTTGTCTCCAATTTCTCACTCTCCAGCACTGCCATGGTAAGCATCTGGGCACACATGTGAGTCCACGGCATTGGCCCAGTGGGACTCCTGGGACACAGATGGTGAACTCCGACCCCACTGCTGCTGGTTTACTCTCCAGGTGGCATCTCTTTACCCCGCTGCTCGCAGTCCTGAGGATTGCTGTTCTCTGCCATGCTCTGCACAGGCCGGGTTGAGTTCCTGACTCCTGATAAGGCTGAGCAGCATTGCATAGGCTTATTCGGTCACACTCATGTGATTTGCTGATTCATATCTTTGCTTATTTTTCTGTTCGTTTAAAAAAATTGTCTTATTGATCTGGCAGCTTTGTGTTTACATCTTCTAGATAATTTTGCATTGCCAGTTATATGCATGGTAACCCTCACAGACAGGGGTATGTAACTTATCCTTTGCCTTGATTTATGGTATCTTGTTTTGTACACCAGTTATATAACTATTCCTCTCTAGTTTATATTTTCCGGAATGTTTAAGAAATCCTTCCTCAGCTGGGTATGGTGGTGTGTGCCTGCAGTCCAAGCTACTTGCAAGGCTGAAGGGATGATCACTTGAGCCCAGAGTTTATGGCCAGCCTTGGCAACATAGTGAAACACCATCTCTCTCTCCTTTATTTCCCCCCCCGCCACCAAGACTGAGTTTCGCTCTTGTCGCCCAGGCTAGAGTGCAGTGGCATGATCTTGGCTCACTGCTACCTCTGCCTCCCAGGTTCAAGTGATTCTCCTGCCTCGCCCTCCCAAGAAGCTGGAATTACAGGCGCCTGCCACCATGCCTGGCTAATTTTGTATTTTTAGTAGAGACAGAGTTTTACCATGTTGGCCAGGCTGGTCTCAAAATCCTGACCTCAGGTGATCCACCCACCTCAGCCTCCCAAAGTGCTGAGATTACAGATGTGAGCCATCATGCCCGGCCAAAACATCATCTCTTTAAAAAAAGAAAGAGTCCAGGTGCGGTGACTCACGCCTGTAATCCCAGCACTTTGGGAGGCAGAGACAGATGGATCACCTGAGGACAGGAGTTTGAGACTAGCCTGGCCAACATGGTGAAACCCTGTCTCTACTAAAACTATAAAAATTAGCCATGTGTGGTGGTGCGTGTCTGTGATCCCATCTACTCTGGAGGCTGAGGCAGGAGAATCGCTTGAACCCGGGAAGCGGAGGTTGCAGTGAACCTCGATCGTGCCACTGCACTCTATCCTGGGCAACAGAGTGAAGCTCTGTCTTTAAAAAAAAAGAAAAAAAGAAAGAAAGAAATCCTTCTTCATCCAGATGTCAGTATAGTCTCCTAGATACTCTTCTGATGATTTTAAAGTTTTTGTTTTATACTTTTAGTCTGGAATTCATTTTGTATATGTCATGAAATAATTCAGTAACTTCATTTGCTCCCATATGCATAGTCAATATAATTTACTCACTGATTTGAAATGCCTCTTCTGGCATCTGTTAGGTTCCCCTATGTGTTTGGGTCTGTTCCTGGGCTTTCTCGTCTGTCCCATTGGTCTTGATGACCATAGACTTATATGCATTTTCATCTCCTTTTCCTTCTGATCTAAGCTTGGCACTGAGCTGGGGTTTTATGCAGCGTTGCTAATTTCCTCTTCTTAGTGCCCAAGAAGGCGGGTGGTGTTGCCCTCATTTAACAGGTGAGGTTACTGAGGCTCAGACTGGGCTTTTGTTTGTTTAAGAATAGGATCTCTTTAAAAAGTCCATCCTCCACCCTGCACTGAGGTTAAGAGCTGAGTGGAGGAGAGTCTTGAGTAAGCCTTGTGGCATCACCGTCATGGCGACCTTAGTCCTCTTCTGCCCATGTTCTCAGGTAGCAGTGGGAGGGGATGAGAGGCCCTCGACCTATTCCTACATATACTGAAAATGGGCCTGCCATCTATACATATATATTTTTTTGAGATTGAGTCTCTTGGTGCCCAGGCTGGAGTGCAATGGTGCAATCTCGGCTCACCGCAACCTCCACCTCCCGGGTTCAAGTGATTCTCCTGCCCCAGCCTTCCAAGTAGCTGGGGTTATAGGCATGTGTCACCACATCTGGCCAATTTTTATATTTTTAGTAGAGACAGGTTTTCTCCATGTTGGTCAGGTTGGTCTTGAACTTTCAACCTTGGATGATCCACCTGCCTCAGCCTCCCAAAGCGCTGGGATTACAGGCATGAGCCACCGTGCCTGGCCCTGCCATCTATATTTAGCTACCACTTCTGGTTGCTGGGAAGAGGTAGTGGCACAAAGAACAACCCCTGCCATCTAGGAGCTTCTAGAACCTTCCTGAATCTCTGTAGCATGTTCAGGTCCACATATGGCAACTCAGATACAGTCTCCTCTTAATGCTTATCTCCTTTCTTTGATTTCACAGTTAAAGGGAAAAATTTAGAGGGAAGAAAGAAAATCCAGAAGAGACATAAGAAGCCCCCAGCAGAAGAGGAGGCAGACCCCATGCTGACAGGCCCCAGGAGGCAGAGCGCCTTCTCCATGCAGCTGGCCCTCATGCCACTTTTTGCCGGTACCCACTCCTTGTTCCCAGTAGCTCCTGCTTGTCTTGTCACGCGTGGCCAGAATGGCCATAAGCGGATGCTTGCGATGACAGCCCTGCTGTGTGCCACCTCATTTCATCCTCACAGCCATCTCAGGAAACTCAGGGGAATTGGTGTGATAGTACAGGGAGAAACGGAGGCCCAGAGAGGGTAGCTACATTGCCTGAGATCACACAGCTGGGAAGTGTGAAGCCTGGACTTGAACCCATCTCTCTCTGATTCAAAAATCCAAGGGAAGCCTATAAGAATATTAGATGTCATTATTGTGTTTGCTAAGAAGATGCTGCTTTTAATGAGTGCTTTCCTACGGATTATTATAAAAACATCTAGGAAAGGAAATGAGGAAAGGGAACCCTTTTTGACTGAGCCTCTCTGGGTGTAGGCACCTCCTGTATGACACATCGTTTACTTCTCAGACCAGACTGACTCCCGCAGCCAACCTGTGGTATGCTGGTGGCTGTGGTGGTTATCATTGTTACCATTTTTTTCAGTGAGGAAAAGAACTCAGAGAGGTTAAGTAACTTTTCTAAGGCCACACAGCTCAGTGGCCAAACAGGGATTTAATTCTTTTGGTTTATAAGATCTACCACAATTTATGAACTAGATTTTCTACATATTGGTAAATCATAACTATTTAATTATGTTTTGATGATGGAAACCTCAGCATATATTTTGGTAAAATTATGTTGCTTTGTTCCAAAAAAGAGTAATATGGGGAGACCTCCCCCTCTTTTTCTTTTTAGAGAAAATAATTTCAGACTTTGTTCGTTTTTTGGCCATCACGTGTCTTCTGCGCCCTCTCCTGGCTGCTCTGCAGAAGCGCATGTTGGTCTTTTCTGAGCTGGAACCAGCGTTCATAGAGGGAGCAAAAACCACAGAGAGCTTCCAGTTCACTTCCACAGGTGTCAGTCATCATCCTCCTCACGCGCTCTTGGGTTGGTGTCAATTCATTTTTGAGAAAGTGCTATTAACTTTTTAGTTTGCACTTTTTTTTTTTTTTTTTGAGATAGGGTCTTGCTCTGTCACCCATGCTGGAGTGCAAGTGACATAGTCATAGCTCACCCCAGCCTCAAGACAGCCTCCTGCCTCTGCCACCAACATAGCCGAGACAACAGGTGCACACCACCACACTGGCTAACTTTTTTTGTATTTTCTGTAGAGACAAGGTCTGGCTATGTTGCCCAGGCCGGTCTCAAACTCCTGGGCACAAGTAATCCTCCTGCCACAGCCTCTCAAAATTCTAGAATTACAGGCGGTGGGGCCTCGTATTTCTCTTCCCGCCGTCTTGGCACTTGTGGAGGGTAGAGAAGTGCCTGCTGCTGAAATGTGGAGGCCTGCTGGGAACAGGACTTACAAAAGGAACTATGTCTGGAAGCCTGTGGTCCAAGGCTATTTTTGCTGGCCAGAAGTGGGGTCTCAGGAACCAAAGGGAGCACACAGCTCTTCTTAAAATTAAAGGTGTTTATGCCCGAGATGAAACAGAATTCTATTTGGGCAAGAGATTTACTTATGTATACAAAGCAAAGAACAACACAGTGACTCCTGGTGGTAAAGCAAACAAAACCAGATGATCTGGGGAAAGGTAACTCGGGCTCATGGAAACAGCGGCATGGTTCGTGCCAAGTTCCGAAGCAACCTTCCTGCTAAGGCCATTGAACACAGAATCCGAGTGATGCTGTACCCCTCAAGGATTCATTTATTTATTTATTTTGAGACGGAGTTTCGCTTTTGTTACCCAGGCTGGAGTGCAATGGCGCGATCTCGGCTCACCGCAACCTCCGCCTCCTGGGTTCAGGCAATTCTCCTGCCTCAGCCTCCTGAGTAGCTGGGATTACAGGCATGCGCCACCATGCCCAGCTAATTTTTTGTATTTTTAGTAGAGACGCGGTTTCACCATGTTGACCAGGATGGTCTCAATCTCTTGACCTCGTGATCCACCCGCCTCGGCCTCCCAACGTGCTGGGATTACAGGCTTGAGCTACTGCGCCCGGCCCCCGCTCAAGGATTTAAACTAATGAAAAGTCAATACATAAATGTGGATTTGTAAAAAAAAAAAAAAAAAAAAAAATTCTAGAATTACAGGCGTGAGCTGCCACATGTGGCAGTGTGCAGTTTTAAATGACTTTTTGAAATTCATTCACCTACAGCTGGTCCTTCCTGATCGCCTTCACTTTCTTGTAGCATCAGAACCTTCTCGAGAAGCAACCATGCCAGAGAATAAAGTTTCAGAGGCTCTTACCCAACCCCACGCTCCAGCGTGGCCCTCCAGCATACCTGTTGCACATGGAGGCTTTGTGCGAATGTCTTTGCTAGCTGCTTCCTTTGTCCTAGAGTCCCAAAGAGGAACTTAAGATTCTCCTGGGGAGCACACCATGGGACCTGCCCCACTTTGGATTTTACTGTGAGAGGAAAGAGAAGCTCAAATGGCTTGGCCTACCTGGTGTGACTGTTTCCAGCAGAGTAAAGTTAGGACATGGCGCGTGTGTGCACGCGCTCTCTCTCTCTCTCTCCCCCCCTTTTTTTTTTTTTTTTTTTTTTTTTGAGATGGAGTCTTGCTCTGTTGTCTAGGCTGGAGTGCAGTGACACAGTCTTGACTCTCTGCAACCTCTGCCCCCCAGGTTTAAGCAATTCTCTTGCCTCAGCCTCCAAAGTAGCTGGGATTACAGGTGCATGTGACCACACCCATCTAATTTTTGTATTTTTAGTAGACACAGGGTTTCCCTATGTTGGCCAGGCTGGTCTCAAACTCCTGACCTCAAGTGATCCACCCACTTCAGCCTCCCAAAGTGCTGGGATTACAGGTGTGAGTCACCATGCCCAACATAGTTTCCCTTCTCTTTTAACCTGCACCATTATGGCTATACAATGCAGGGTTCATATGTAAGAGCTTTGGTGACAAAAACACTTTGATCCTGGCTCAGCCACTTACCAGCAAGTTGCTGCTTTCTATGAGTCTCACTTTCCTCCTCTGTGAAATGAGGGTGATTACTCCCACCTCAGAGTGCTGTTTTAAGGATCACAGGAGCTGATGTGTGTAAACTACTTAGCACAGTGAGACCCAGAGGGTGCTGGTGGGGAGGCAGCAGTTGCCTCCCAAGGCCATGTGGGTGGGCTGCTCTGTCATACCCATGACATAGCCCATGGTCATCCACGGAGAATGGCTTGGCTCCGCAGGCCAGTCGGATGTCTGGTTTTGCCAGAAGATCATATCATAAGATTATTTATTGTAAACCCAGCATAATTATTTTTGGTAGTCATCTTCAATTTCAAATTAGGCCATAGATTTTGTATACTTTATTAGTAAATATTGGTTGGCTAGTAACCCAGTAAGATTTTAGGAAAATTCCGTGTCTGGGAGTGGACTCTTATTTTAAAAGGATAGTATTGCATAGCGGAGGGGCCCCTACTTAGCCCAGCAGAACTGGTTTGGATGCTGGTTCCACCGTGTAGTAGCTAAGAGACCTTGGATGATTGTGTCAGAACTCTGGGGCTCAGTTTCCCCACCTGCAATGTGGAGATGATAGCAACCGAACAAGGCTAAGGATGAAATGACATATGTGCTTGGGACTGGCTGCTGCAGGAGCACAAACATTCCTTTGCACTGTTCCATTCTCACTGGACCAGGGCTCTTCACTAAGGGGGCCTGTGTCTGCTGGGGACATTTGGCAGCATGTGGACGTATTTTGGTTGTCATGACTGGGAGTGGGATGCCACTGGCATCTAGTAAGATGCTGCTAAACATGCCACAGTGCACAGGACTGTCCCTTGAGCAAAGAATGGTCTGCTCCAAGAGTTGGCAGTCTGGAGGCTGTGAGCCCCGAGCCTGGAATTCTGGGTGCATGTCTCTCTGACTCTGATGATTTGAGCACTTTTTTTTTTTTGCACTGGGATTTTCTTCTATCTTGGATAGTGTTTTATGTGAAAAGGCTCACAGAATTACAGAACGCAGGCGTAATGAGTGACAGCTTTTGTGAATCAGCTTTGTTGAAGATCCTGCCGGAGCCTGAGGGCAGCCCCAGGAGCTGTGCACACCTCTCCTCACGGCCTGTGCAGATGGCTGCACACACCTGGCCTGTGACTTGTTTTAGAAGCAGCTGCTCTTCCTGAATTGAGCAACTTGGCTTTTACTTGCTCTAGAAATACATTTACAGGCACGCTGAAAGGAATAGATTGATCTTTTTGAGAATCTTCACATTCATCATCTTTCTTAATCCTTTAACTCCAAGGAAGGTGGTATCTATCCCTATTTAGCAGATGAAATTGAGTCTCAGAGAGTCTAGCTTATCACATGACAAAGAGTCAGATCTGGATTCAAACCAGGTCAATCCTACCTCCAAAACACGAGTCTTTTTTTTTTCCTACCTAGTACATCTCTGACAGCAGAAATACACAGACCCCTTTTATAGAAAAAAGCGTTCTGACAGCTAGCTATATGCCTTGCAGTGGCTCAGTTCACCCACGCTTTTCGCAAGGTGCACTAGTGCAAAACCACCCTATGGGAACTGTGCACGCTTGTATTTGGCTCAGATGTGCCAGTTGTGTTCTACATTAATATCTGTGCTTTCCTCACCAGACCACAACAGTTGAGGCAACCCCACTGAGTACCAAATGTACATACTGGCATGATGGGAGAACTGCCTAGAGCACTCCATCAATAGCCTTCCTGCAGCCATGGCCAGGCTCTCTGCTGTCCCATACAGGAGCCCATAGCCACATTAGGGTCCTGGGCATTTGGAATTTGGCTTGTGTGGAAGGAAGTGCATTTTACATTTTATTGAATTTTAATTAATTACAATTCAAGTAGCTACCTATAGCCCATAGCTACCATAGTGGATGGCACATGTCTAGAACGTTGGTTCTCAAGTTACCTGGAGAACTTTTAAACTTCCCGTTGTGGAGGCCACGCCTCAGACCATTTTAAATCAGACTGTCTGGGAGTTGTACTCACTCATAGGTGTTCCTTATTTTGTCCTGGATGATTCAGGAAATGCTTATATCAATTCTTAAAAGATGTCATCAAGATGAAGTCACACAAATTCAATTTTCCTAGGGAATTTACGGGACCTCAGTTTGAGAAACTAGCGTGTAACCTGCTGCCTGTGGGCATTTCCCAATTCTTTTATTATTTTTTTTCCATTGAAATTTTCCCTTTTCGGCTGTGATTTTACCATTGGCTCATCTCCGGCCGCTTGTCTTGCGGCTGTTTTGAGTAAAGGTCTAATGCTGGGTATATTTCCCTGCAGGATGGCAAACTGTCATGAGTCGTGGCAGTGAGAAGTCTGCCAACATTTTAGATTGCCTTTTGACTTTAAAAACAGAAGTTCCGATTATGACCGAGGAGCAAAAGCAGGATTTAAATCCCCTGATCATAAAGATCAAGTGTGCTTCCTGCCTTCCATCACAGCCTGTGCCCATTCAGGAACTAGAGGTAAGAATGAGCCCGACGCTTGGAGTTTAGAGCTCCTCCCCTTCCACCCACCTGCCCATCACATGCCATCTCTAGTCCTCCCAATGGCCCCACATAAGAAATATGGTCATCACCTACATTTTACCATTTAGAACTCACAGTGAGAGACAAAGGAGATGAGGTTCCTGGGATTAGGCATGACCAATCCTGAGGTCTCTTACAATCCACAGGTGCTCTTCCAATGCTGGTCATGAGCCTCCCTTCCGGAGCCCCCAGGGCTTCCCTGTTCCCACAGCAATTGCCAGCCGGATGCTTGATCTTTGTGAACCAACTAGGTTCAGCACTGCTGTTTATTCTGGGAGTTCCTTGTTCCCTCTTCCAGTTGGATCCCTGTCTCCTGAATTCTGTCTTCCTCTTTCTATATTTGCTATCTGGTTTTGCTGGAGTGCATCCTCCAGCAGCTTCTTGAGAAAAGGTCAGTGGGAAATTTATTTTTGAGATCTCATATGTCTGCTATGTATTTTTTTTTTTTTTTTTTGAGATGGAGTTTCGCTCTTGTTACCCAGGCTGGAGTGCAATGGCGCGATCTCAGCTCACCGCAACCTCCACCTCCTGGGTTCGGGCAATTCTCCTGCCTCAGCCTCCTGAGTAGCTGGGATTACAGGCACACGCCACCATGCCCAGCTAATGATGTATTTTTTCTATCCTTACACATGACTGGTAGTTTGGCTGCTTGTTGAATTCTTGGCTAAAAATCATTTGCCTTCAGAGTTTTGAAGGCATTGTTCCATCTTTTATTTTCATACAAGTTGAACCTTTGTATGTGACCTGTTTTTTCTTTCTCTGAATGCTTATAAAATCTTTTTGTCTTCTTTTTAATTTTATTTATCTATTTATTGAGATGGAGTTTTGCTCTTGTTGCCCAGGCTGGAGTACAATGGTGCCATCTCAGCTCACCACGACCTCCTCCTCCTGGGATTCTTCTACCTCAGCCTCCCGAGGAGCTGGGATTACAGCATGGGCCACAATACTCAGCTAATTTGGTATTTTTCGTAGAGATGGAGTTTCTTCATGTTGGTTAGGCTGGTCTTGAACTCCCCACCCAGGTGATCTGCCCACGTTGGTCTCCCAAAGTGCTGGGATTATAGACATGAGCCACCACACCTGGCCTTGTCTTCTTTTTAAATTTGTGACAGGGTCTCACTCTGCCACCTTGCCTGCAGTGCAGTGGTGCAATCATAGCTCGCTGCAGTCTCAAGCTCCTGGGCTCAGGTGATCCTCCTGCCTCAGCCTCCTGAGTAGCTGAGACCACAGGTGCATGCCACCATATCCAGCTAATTTTTGTATTTTCTGTAGGGACAGGGTTTTGCCATGTTGCCCAGGCTGGTTTTGAACTCCTGGGATCAAGTGATCCTCCTGCCCTGGCCTCCCAAAGTGCTAGGATTACAGCTGTGAGCCATAGTGCCAGCCCTTTTTGTCTTCTGAAACTGCTTATGTGTCTTAGTGTGGGTATGTCCATATACATATGTCATACTTTTATTTTTAAATATAGATTCACAGAAAGTTGCAAAGATAGTACAGAGATCCCATGTATCCTTTACCCAATTTCCTCAGTAATTAGGTATTTCATAACTATAGCACAATAGCAAAATCAGCATGTTGACATTGGTCTAACACGTATATAGGTCTATGCCATTTTATTGTACATGCATATAACGGTCGCAACACTTGAGATGTAGAAACATTCTATCACCATGAAGTTAAAAGAAAAAATATTCTATCACTACGAAGATCTTCATGCTACCCTTTTACAGTCACATCAACCTCTGAACACCCACCATCCCTAACCACTCATTTGCTCTTCATTTCTATACTTTTGCCAATTTGAAAATGTTATTGTTAAGAATTGAATTGTGTCCCCTGCCAAAAATGGTATGTTGAACTCCTAACGCCCAGTATCTCAGAATGTGCTCCTGCTTGGAAAGAGGGTCTTTGCAGAGGTCATCAAGTTAAAATGAGGTCATTAGGGTATCCTTCTGAAAAGGGGAAAACTGGACACAGAGACAGACACACAGGAAAGACGTTGCAAAGTGACACACGAAGAATGCCACGTGGAAAGTGGATGCTGCCACATGCCAGGGGATGTCTGGGGCCACCAGAAGCTGGAAGAGGCAAGGAAGGACCTTCCCGAACACGTTCCAAGGAAACGTGGCCCTGCCAACAGCTTAGTTTCTGACTTCTAGCCCTCAGAACAGTGAGGTAATAAATTTCTGTCATTGTAAGCCCCCCAGTTTATGGTGCTTCGTAGGAAACTGGCATGGTTATATAAGTGAAAACATCCAGCATATGTGACCTTTTGAGACTGGCCTCTTCCCTACTCCAGCATAATGCCTTTTGCGTATAGTTTGGTCACATTTCTTTATTTACTCTGCTTTTAATTGATGTATTTGACCCTGATATTTAAGTAAATATTGCTATATTAGAGCTTAAGTGTACCGCTTTAATTTTTGTTTTCTGCCTGTTCCTTCTGCTTGTTTCTCTGGTTTTGTTTTTGTTTGTTTTCCTTTCTTGTGGGTTACTTGACCAGGTTTTAGAATTCCATTTTGATTTGTCTGCAGTATTTTTGAATTTATATCTCTTTGCATAGATTTTTAGTGGCACTCTGGGTGTTATATTATGCATATGTAACTTTTCACAATGTATCGGTATCAGTATTTTACCAGTTTGAGTGAAATATAGAAACTTTACCTCCCTTCAGATCCCTTTAGTTTTCATGAATATTTCTTCTGCATACATTGATAACCATGAGATGATGTTTGCTTCAACCATCAAACATAACCTGGAAAACTCAAGGGGCGAAGGCAAGTTTGTACATTTACCTGTGGTTCTGCTTATCCCATCATCCTTTCTTCCCTTCTAATGTTCCAAGATGACTTTTTTTTGTCATTTCCTTTCTGTTTTAAGAACTTCCCTTAGCCTTTCTTGTAGGATCAATCTGCTGAAAACAAATTCTTTAAGTTGTTCTTTGTCTCAGGGTATTTTTTATTTTTCCTTCATTCTGGAAGGATAGTTTCACTGGATATAGAATTGGTATAGAATGGGGTTGATTTTTTTTTTTTTTTGAGGCAGAGTCTGGTTCTGTCACCCAGGCTGGAGTACAGTGGTACAATCTTGGTTCATTGCAACCTCTGCCTCCCAGGTTCAAGTGATTCTCCTGCCTCAGCTTCCCAAGTAGGGGAGATTATAGGCACGCACCACCATGCCTAGCTAATATTTGTATTTTTTAGTAGAGACGGGATATTACCATGTTAGCTAGGCAGGTCTCGAACTCCTGACCTCAGATGATTCACCCGCCTCAGCCTCCCAAAGTGCTGGGGTTACGGGTGTGTGCCACCATGCCTGGCCAGATTTTTGTTTATTTGTTTTTTTTATTATACTTTAAGTTCTGGAGTACATGTGCAGTATGTGCAGGTTTGTTACATAGTTATATGTGTGCCGTGGTGGTTTGCTGCATCCGTCACCCCATCATCTACATTAGGTATTTCTCCTAATGCTATCCCTTCCCTAGCCCCCAACTGGCAATAGGCCCCAATGTGTGGTGTTCCCCTCCCTATGTCCATGAGTTCTCATTGTTCAACTCCCACTTATGAGTAAGAACATGCAGTGTTTGGTTTCCTGTTCTTGTGTTAGTTTGCTGAGAATGATAGTTTCCAGCTTCATCCATGTTCCTGCAAAGGACATGAACTCATCCTTTTTATGGCTGCATAGTATTCCACGGTGTATATGTGCCACATTTTCTTTATTCGGTCTATCATTGATGGGCATTTGGGTTGGACAGTGTCACAATAAACATCCATGTGCATGTGTCTTTATAATTATTTATAATTCTTTGGGTATATACCCAGTAATGGGATTGCTGGATCAAATGATATTTCTAGTTCTAGATCACTGAGGAATCGCCACACTGTCTTCCACAATGGTTGAACTAATTTGCACTCCCACCAACAGTGTAAAAGCGTTCCTATTTCTCCACATCCTCTTCAGTATCTGTTTTCCCTTGATTTTTTAATGATCATCATTCTACCTGGTATGAGATGGTATCTCATTGTAGTTTTGGATTGCATTTCTCTAATGACCAGTGATGATGAGCTTTTTTTTATATATTTATTGGCTGCATAAATGTCTCCTTTTGAGACATGTCTGTTCATATCCTTCACCCACTTTTTGATTTTTTTTTTTTTTTTTGTAAATTTGTTTAAGCTTTTTGTAGATTCTGGATTTTAGCCCTTTGTCAGATGGGTAGATTGCAAAAATGTTCTCCTATTCTGTAGGTTGCCTGTTCACTCTGATAATAGTTTGTTTTGCTATGCAGAAGCTCTTTAGTTTAATTAGATCCCATTTGGCTAATTACTTTTGCCATTACTTTTGGTGTTTTAGTCATGAAGTCCTTTCCATGCCTATGTCCTGAACGGTATTGCCTAGCTTTCTTCTAGGGTTTTTATGGTTTTAGATCTTCCATTTAACTCTTTAGTCCACCTTGAGTTAATTTTTGTATAAGGTGTAAGAAAGGGCTCCAGTTTCAGCTTTCTGCATACGGCTAGCCAGTTTCCCCAACACAATTTATTAAATAAGGAATCATTTCTCCATTGCTTGTTTTGGTCAGTTTGTCAAAGATCAGGTGGTTGTAGATGTGTGGCCTTTGTATTTCTGAGGCCTTTGTTCTGTTCCATTGGTCTATCTCTGTTTTGGTACCAGTACCATGTAGTTTTGATTACTGTAGCCTTGTAGTATAGTTTGAAATCCTAGTAGTGTGATGCCTCCAGCTTTGTTTTTTTGTTTGTTTTGTTTTTGTGTGTGTGTGTTTGTTTTGCTTAGGTTTGTCTTGGCTATGTGGATTCTTTGGTTTCATATGAAATTTAAGGTCTTTTTTTCCTTAAATTCTGTGAAGAAAGTCAATGGTAGCTTGATGGGGATAGCATTGAATCTATAAATTACTTTGGGCAGCATGGCCATTCTCACAA